AGAGACGCGAACTTGACACGGTGGAGACAGCAACTAAGAAACACAGAGACATAAACCATAAGGCAGAGGACTCTAAGAACCGAAAGACACAGAGGGAAACTCAAACATGCAGACAGAACAGAGGAGACACATGAAGGGCAAGGAATCGACTAGAAACCATAGAATAACTCACACGAGTACAATAATACAAAAATCACAAAGAACTAAACATGCTGGGTCAGGAGACCCAGGACCCTGACACCTCGACGTCCGTTGGGGAGAACATCATGAAGAATAGATATGACATGAGGCAGCTGTAGTGGAGGTGGGTTGCAGAGAGGCTGACAGCAGCAGCAGCCTAAAATATGATTATCAGGGTCCTGAGTAGGAATGTGCGAACCAAATAAGAAGCATGTGGAACACTGGGAATCTCTGGAAAGCTGCAGGGAAGCAGTTGCTGACGGAATTAGCTCATCGGGAACAGGTGAGATGAAGAGTGTCCATCTGAACCTGATGAGGATGGGCAGACACAGACAATGGGAGAAAACTGACGACCTAAATATAGCAGGAGAAATGTTTGAGCAGTATATTTTTAACTGGCTTGTTATTGTAACGAGTCTTTATCTTATTTATTGTAACATTTATTATATAATATTTTATTATATTAATACTATTCTGATTAGGTCGTATTTTAAACGTAGCGCAGAGATGTAAGTAACTTGCTAGTTCTTCGTGGTCAATGACAAATAATTATTTAATCCCTGATCCAGTTTCATAAAACATCAGCTGGGAATCTGCGCCGTGTTTATTAAAGAGGAAAGAATGAAGTTATGTGAGTTTTCCCCCCGACTGCTGCAGGATTAGAATAAAAGTTATGGATGGATTTGCATGAAAGTGTTCCCAGAGGTAGCGAAGTGATTAACTTTTGGAGCCGATTAACATCTGGATCCAGGAATTTCCAGAAGGATCATTTATGGCTGCGAGACAGAAGACCAGGTGAATTCCTGCCTGAACGTGTGTGATGGTGTTTTGGTGATTACTCACAGATGAATCCAGATGCAGGGACTCAGGTTTCGCTGTTCAGCTTCATGAAGCAGAAGAAATAACAAGAAAACAGATGATAAGATTTAAAGATGGAAACAGTAAAACATTAAACAGACGATAAAAACTTGATTTTAAGAAATCCAGTCTATACAGGTTTGGTTTCTAAATGTTTTGTTGAAAGGAGGAAAGAGGAAGTTTGCTCCAAATAAAAGAGTCGCTTCCTGTGGGAGGTTTGACTGTGATGGCGAAGGCTCGATGATTGGTGCGACCAAAGAAACACCTGGATGCATCTGATTGGTCAGATGGAGCCAGATGTATGTCATAATTTATGGACACGTGGTGGGACGAGCGCGATTCTCTCCTGCTCATCTTGGACAAAGTTTAAACCTTTATTTTGGTGGTAGCACTTTATAACACAGCCTGGAGTGTTTAGTTGAGTTTTTGTAGGTAAATATAAATAAAATACTTTAATTATTTGTAATTACATATTAATTATGCCCTTTGTCGTGGGCTGTATTGTAAAGTGTTACCGTTGAAGTTTCAAACTTTCGTCCTTTTAAGCGAGCTCATCTGTGTGTTACTCAGTGAGGGGGACGAGGGTTACCCGGACGACAACACCAATGACATCTTCCTCGCCCTGAAATACCAAACTGAGCTCCTCTTCACCAGGTGGGTGAAGCTTTGGAGCTTTTTGTGATTTGAAAGTTTAAAAAGTTGCATTCAGAAGAGTTCACGTGTGTCTGCGGATGGTTTATCGAAGCGTTCTTCCTTCTCCGGACAGAGACCCCTACCCTCCTCGTTTTGTAATCAGAGCTGACTCCTCCTCCTCTTCGTCCTGGGACCAATCAGACAGCAGCTCTCACACCTTCAACCTCTCCTATTACGTGAGTGAAACGAACTGTGCATGTTTGCAGGACGTCAGCTCTCATGAAGACGTTCTGATGCGGTTCTCTCGTGTGCAGATCCAGAACCTGGGCCTGTTCGCGGTGCAGGACGTCCTGTTCAGGGCTGATATCTGGGCTGTGACCACGAGAGGAAACCAGCTGCTGAACATTACAGACGTCAGCATCGAACAGGTGACGCTTTTGTTGCTGCAAAGCAGCTTTCACTGTACAGGCATCACTTATTCACTGAATTGTGAGGAGCAGCAGCGCCACCTGCCTGTCACATATTTATCTACTGCAAACGGAGGCTTTTCTGTCCTGTCGCTGTGTTTCTGACTTACTGTGCTGAGCTGCTTTTTTAATGTTTTGGCCAGATTGGTGAAGCAGCAATTAAAACCAGAGGTTACCATTATAACGGAGTCCTCTTCCTCCCAGCAGGCAGCGGGATCCCACTGCACGCTGCCTCACGTTAGGATGAGCAGTCCTGTCACACCTGAGGATCTGACTCACCTGTCACAGCTGGTAAGGCTGAAGGAGCCTGTTAGAGTGAGGATAACAGTGGAGTTAAACAGTGTTTCACAGGGTGTGTGTGTGTGCGCAGAACCACAGTAACAGCGTGAACATGGAGGTGCGGTGCCAACTGAACCTCCCGCCCTCCCGAGAGGTGAAGGTGACGCTCACAGGAAGCCTTCAGCTCGCCGCTCTGCTCGCCGTGAGTTCCTCTCATCTGCCGTTTTCATAAAGCGAGACAAAGCTCAGGAAACAGGAAGTCCATCAAATTCCCGACTAACCAGAAACAGGCTCGGTTTAGTGAAACTCAGATTAACCGTAGGAGAAACCACAGGTGGCGCTCACTTCCTGTTTAACTCTTTCAGGTGAAGTTCAGGTCTCTGGAGCTGCTGACCGCCGCCTCCATCCAGCTGGAAGCGTCTAGTCCCGCTTTCCTCCAGGAGGACCGACCTGTCAGACAGGTGAGACCAGCATCGCTCTCCCATTGGAGGACAGAGGTCACTCTGGGATAAACAGGTTTAAACTCTTTGTGACTGAACCCAGTGGCCTTCTATCAGCTGACCACAACGTTTAATCAGCTGATCATCAGCGCTTCACCGACACAACCAGAGCTGTGCTGCCACCTGCTGTTAGGAACTATTACACCCTTTTGCTTCACATTAAAAACACATTTCTGCAAAAATATTTAACAATTAATGAACCACGTGGAGTACGGAGGACCAAAGGTGCCAAAATGCAACAAATAAAATATAATTATTAATTGTATATTGTTATTATTGTAATAATTAATTGGTTCCTCTATTTATGTCCTGTGTAATTTAATTTTCTATTTTTATTAATTTGGCGATTTTACATTTATTTATTTCTGCATATTTTTTCAAATGTATTTTCTTTATTGTATCTTGTTTCATTTTTGCATTTCTTCAAACATTTCTTTGTTCTTTGTTACACATGAAGCAACGATCGTGTCTCTGAGGGAGTTTACATTTAAAAATGGTGGAAAAGGGAAGAAAACCTCAGAAACACCCGAACTCTTCATTTTCAGTCAACATTATTTAATTTTGACTCCATATTTCTTTGTTAACTTATACTCTAATATACATATTAACCCTTTAAAGCCGGTCAGAGCAGCACGCTCTGTTTTGCGTAACTATTTTTAAATCCCGGTAGCTCTGCAACCACGTGAGCTAGCGCAATAATTTTTTTTGCATATGAAACCGGAGGAGTTGTACTTACATCTTATGCCATCAGCTTGTCCTCGGTCACAGTTTCCTTCCACATATAGCTTTGCAAAAACTGCATAAAAAGCACTTGCAGCAACAAAAACATAATATTCCAGAAACACGCTTTGCCGATCCGATCAGCTGTTCATAACACTTCCTACGTCCATCAGCACGAACTATCACATGTTCTCCATGACCTGCCCGAAACCGGAAGTGACATCATTTTGCGGAAATGTAGTTTTTTACCATCAGGGCCTCATGAGCCTATACTGGTGTTTTTAAAAGTTATCTTTGACTTTATGACTTTCTGTGTGGTTTCTGGGATGCTTAGGACTCATATTGCACTGCTGGAAATAGTTTATTTTGATGCATATGCTGCTTTTTTGCAAATTTGCATCATAATATTTATTTTCGTTTTTCCTGCAGTAAATAAAAATTGGTGTATTTCAAAAATAAAACTATGAAGACACTCAAAATAAATTTCCTGTGGTGGGAAACTATTTTGTGCAATTTTTTTGTATTTACAGTTTTGAGGGATAAGCCTCTTAAATTTCTCTAACTAGAAATATATGTTAAAAAACAAAAACGATTTTCATTTTTTTTGTAGTTTATTGCACTTTTTTGCAATTTATGTAATTACTATGCACTTAATGCAGACATATTATTAAAATCTGGGCTATAATGGTTGTATTGATGTATAGCAACTTGAAATGCTCCCAAAAATGGCTCCACAGCATGTAAACATATAATATAAGCTCTGGCAGACTTGGTGCTATGGTAGGTCTTAAAGGGTTAAGGACTTTATTAGACCGCCTGACATGAACACTGGTTTCACACACACTCGGGTGTTTTGTGCTGTAACTGCAGATCATTCTGGACCTGAGGAAGGAGGAGGATCACTCCATCCCCATCTGGATCATAGTGGGAAGCTCACTGGGAGGTTTGCTGCTGCTGGCCTTACTGGTCCTCGCTCTGTGGAAGGTAAAAACACACACGGAGCCTCGAACATCATCAGAGTACGTCTCTGTTCTGAGCTCTGCTCTACAGTGGACGTCTGGATGAAACCATAAATCCTTGTTTTCTCTTCAGCTCGGCTTCTTTAACAGACGGAGAAGAAAGGAGGAAGAGGAGCAGCCTGTGGCCAATGGGAAGACAGCACAGGAGCTATAACGTGGCTGACATCACCGCCGCATCATTCCTCGCCGGCCTGCAAAGTCTTAAATTAATGTTCCCGATGAAATTGAACCTGAAAGACACTGAGAAAATCTGACGACCTCACATGGTCACCTGAACGCATCACGTGCCTCCACCCGTCACTCAGGGACTGCGACCCTCACCTTAAACCCGCCTCTTCGTCCACGCGACTTTCATCGATCCTCCCCACAGACTGTATATAAAAGACGGAGTCAGCATTAGAAATATCGGGGGTTGAGGATTCTTCAGCGTCGCCGACGTCGGCCGTTCATGTGAGAACTTCACAGGTGTGACGGAGGCGTCGTGATAGAGGAGAGCGATGGAGTAAATATTTAGACGGAGGCTGACGGGGCAGAAAGCAAACTACCTAACATTCGTCTGATTTCATCTTAAATTGTAAATAGATCCTATTAATTCTTATATATTGTAGCTGATGCACTTTTGTTTAAAAGTCAAACTTGAACTTGTGTAAATATTCACACGTATGACGAATGAGGACCGAGGCGTTACCGTGGAAGCGGTTACCGTGGAAGCGGTTACCGTGGAAGCGGTTTCCGCTCTGCCTGTTAATGTCAGAATAAAGATGAGAAATATTAAAGTCGTGTCCTTCTGTTCGCTCATGTTTACCTTCTTTGTCTGAAATTTGGACTCTTTGATAACCTGAAATGTTAAATCATCCAAAGATCTGATTCAACATTTTTCTTTAAATTTTCTGGATAAATCTCAAAAGTTTGAGTAATTATTTTAAAAGTTTGAATCAGAGATCCTGAAGTTGCTTCCGAGTCGGTTTGTTAAACCATCCATCATGTTCTTGTCACTTTCAGATAAACTGAAATTCTAAATTCAGAATCTCAAATTTCGACTTATTTAGACAAAAATTGAAATTTTGAGACTTTTTAAACTCAAACTTTTAAAAGTAACAGCCTTTACAGGGACGTGTAACTTGACCAGACACATTTATTACAGTTATTATTATTATTTTTAACCAAGCTCAGTTTTTCAGATCTGATCAATCAGATCGCTGCATTTTCTTACTCGCAGCTCAAACGCCACTACTGAATATAAAACTAGTAAAACAGTCACGTGTGACGCCCGACACACCGCTGGCTGCCGCTCCAGGTCGGTCTGCATCCTCAGGTGTGGTCCCGCCTCTCAGTGCTCGACTCAGTCCTGAAACATGGACCAAAGCTTCGACTCCAGGATCAGTTTTTTATTCAATGTTTTCACAAAACTGGTTCTGATCCTTGAAATGTGGGATTTTGTGTCACGCAGAAATAAGGCGTTTATTTATTTATAATTAAGTTCTGACTTAAACATTTAGAAATCTTAAACAGAAGCAGCTTGAAAGTTTGAAACACCCGACGTTTGAATGATTGCAGAATCGTTTCCAATAACTTTTTCAGAAATTTGGACTTAATAATAATAATAATAATAATGGATTG